ACTTCTATTTCAAACCTCAAAGAGTCAATCCTTTCATATCGTTGCACTTCCTTACTCTTATACTCTCCCCTTCAGAAAAAGAGAAGAGCGTCGGGTGCAGACCGTACATAACAAGTGACGACGGCCTTCAGAAAATGCAAATGTTTTTTTGCCAATGAAATGATTAGCCTGTTGCAGTTGTATTCTATCAGTTGTCACTAATTACAACTATTATTTACCAAAAATCAGCTATCACTATGAACCACTACTAACCAGATTTACTTTGAGGCCGTCGTCACTTGTGGTGTACGGTCTGCACCCGACGCTCTTCTCTTTTTCTGAAGGGGAGAGTATAAGAGTAAGGAAGTGCAACGATATGAAAGGATTGACTCTTTGAGGTTTGAAATAGAAGTTTAAAAGAAGCCGGTTTTTTGATGGAAGCTTCCTATAATAACCTTGGTGTGCGTTCGAAAGCGCATAATTCGGAAGTACTTTCTTCCCACCGGAAAAAAGCTTTAGAGGAAAGCTAATGACTTTTAAAAACTCGAACGTACTGGCGGAAAAAGGGGCGAACGTCCGATTTTTCTGAAGAACGAACCTTGAGAAACGGTCAAGCTCTTTTAGAAAGCGCGGATCTTGCACTTTCTTGGCGTGCCTAAAGTATTCCGCAGAAACGAAAAAGAAGAATGTCATGGTCAATGGAATCCTGAAAACTCGCGTTTTCAAATAATTGACCGGCAAACCCCCAAAAAGTACGAACGGATGTGTGATTTTTTTCCATGTTAAGGAAATGAAATTTATGCTCATTAAAAACTTAACAACCTGCTTATTCGCACGAAAAAAGTGCGAACGAGAGAATTTTCGACAAAGTGACGATCAGGAATAGTTGATATCTTTCAAGCAGGAAAAGATTTGAAGTTTCCGAATCTTTTTACCGCGATCAGGAATGTCGCATTTGAAAGAAGTTACAACCTTTGAAAGATGGATGGAGGTGTGTCTCCCTAAAAAAACTGGGGTTTTTCACTTCGTAACGGAAGCACATTCTGGCATGTGAGGTAATCTTAGTAGTTTCTGGAAGCGGACGGTCCATGCGCTTCCAAAAACTCCAAACCTACCTAATCAAACAATAACCTACCTAACTAAACCTACTAACTAACGCCAAGAACTAACGTGAGGCTCTATAGCTTCACCTGTCGTGCAGGGTCTATATATACTTCTCTTAAATCTAATGTGGCTCTCGTTACTCCCTCTGTTGTGCTTTTCAAGCGCCTGGCTAGTAAAGATTTGTTGAGCTATGACTAGGTTATATTCAAGGGAAGATCGTTGTATTGTTTCCTACGACTGCCTTATGTGTCGTCTAATAAATAAATAAATAAATAAATAAATAATAAATAAAATAAAATAAATAAATAAAATAAATAAAATGTACGATTTCAAGGAATTTATGTCTCCTAGATATCGTTTCTTCACGTCTCTTACTCGTCGTCGATCTCTTACTGCCTAATGAACGGCGCGCGGTTCTAGTCCAGTTAGGGGGGGGGGAGATTATGATGCATCAGTGACTTCTTTGAAGCCATACAATGTTATTAGTTTCGCGGTAATTCTGCGCCATTTCTCTGAAGAAAGTGGGAGCATAACCTGCTCTAATGCCAATTGCTCAAGGAGCCCTTCAAAGTTACCGTTGCCGGCGGCTTCATTTCTAGTCATTCTTTGTGTTTCGGTGCTGAGGGTGGGGGAGCACGCGGCGGCGCGGCACTCTGCTCGCCTGGCGCTCTCTCGAGCGAGACAGTGTAAACTCGAACATTCCAGCTTTTCACGCATGTCAAGTGACTGCCCTCACCCCCACCCCCTAGACTGCCTACACTCCCCCTGGCTCACAGGTTTCCCGAAGTACGGGACCCCGTGAGCCAGGGGGTGTAAGGCAGTCTAGGGGGTGAGGTGAGGGCAGTCGCTTGACATGCGAGCAGAGTGCCGCGCCGCCGCGTGATCCCCCCAACCCACTCATCCATACCTAGGTGATATTGTTCTTTCTAAAACTTCATCGGCATCAGAGGACTTATTAAACAGGACTAGAGGTACCGTAGCTTTCCGGAAGAACTGCATCATGATCCCCCCCCCCAATGCAATAGACCTACTTGTTCATCAACAAAACAATAACATAGGTCGCACAGGGACCCCTAGGAAGGGCGGGGCGGAAACATGAAAAAGTGCGAACGCGACGATTGACCCTCGAGGGATGGAAGAATTGTTCGTCCCGGGAGACGCACAATCCAGGGTTCCATCCCCGGACCGCCCGCGAGGTAAGCAGCGCCACCTCCGTTCCTCTCAAGACCCAGTACGCATGTTCTGAAGAGCACTGCACCTTATTAACTCTGGCTTTTTGGTGTGTTTAAGAATTTCCTTCTTATGCTTCGCCTTGCCCTAAATTTATCTTCCTGTTTCCCTCGTTATTATTTTTGAATGTCATCAATACTATTGTCTGTATTTCTGCGAGCAGAATCTGTATTCATAGATCTCAAACTGAACGCTTCAACATCTTTTCACTAGCTATTTGAATAAAATAACTGTTTTATCTCTCAGCAGGTTCTGGACACCAACAAATGGCCAACACCTACTTGGACAGTGAGTTAATTTGTTTTTACATGAAAGTAAACCGAATTAGTCCATCTAGTTCCCCATAACCTATGTCACTATGCTTCAGTGCATTACTTCGAATAATGTCTAATTGAAATTAGCGAGTTTCGGTAACATCTACTCGATAAAAGATTTGCGTAAAATTCATATACGGGGTAGCTGTGCTTAAATGTGAGGGCTCCCCCACTTTCTTCACACTTCGGGACGCGGCTGCGGCGAGAAGAAAGGGGAGCCAAATGTGAGTTCGATGTCCGATTTTTGCAAATGTACTGCAAAAGATGCTAGTGATCATTTTGTTTGCTAACAGTAGCCGGAAAATTTCAGATACAATTACTACTAACGCGAAAAATGCGAATGAATCAAATAAAGGGAGCGAAACAGATAGTGAGGAGGTCAATTTGCGACATAATTCTCTTTTTCTGCGGGTTTCGGTTCTATGAGAAAATTGAGCGAGATTTCACTTCAGAAGATGCATCCAGGTCCAACAGATCTTGGAAAGAGGACCAAAGGGACGAATAGAGCTACGGTACGAGTTCGAAAAACTCGTCGTGGAGATCGAAAAACTCGTCGTGGACACACCCACACCTACTCGCCAAATAAGCAGGTATCTCTTCGTTATCGGTTCATCACGCATTATTTGAAAGGACGTAATATTGTTCCATTATGATAGGGTGGAATGTGTTTTGGGTCTCATCCAGTAAGGGGGGCATTGTGATGCAACGTCAAGTGGCTGCCCTCACCCCCCACCCCCTAGACTGCCTACACTCCCCCTGGCGCACAGGTTTCTCGAAGTACGGGACCCCGTGAGCCAGGGGGAGTGAAGGCAGTTTTTTCATCAGGCACGATACTCTGTTATGCAACGGTACTATTTGATATTTGATTGGACGGTCTGAATCTGTTATTCAAAATGGGGACGCAATGTAGCTGCAGGGGGTGGGGGGGCAGTCCATGGCATTGCGTCAGATTCACGGAAACTTTCAGTTTGGTACTAAGCTTTTGAACAGGAGAAGGAATCCGACTGCGAAAGCAAACTTCATTCGCTCTGGAATTCGTCCCTCTGGATTAAGCTTAGTCCTAGTAGCCTTCCGACAGACTTACCCCCCCCCTCGACGGCATTGAGAAAAGGTGTTTTGGTACTTGATGGATTCACGAGGGAATTAGACAGGAGAAACCAACTGTCAAAGAATTAAAGAGCTAATCAGCTGGGGTGTGGTTCACTATAACGGAAAGCGACTTTTTTGCGTTGCGCAGCGCGAAATTTTGTTTGCTTCAGGAAGCTCGGGGCCCATCGTTGATTATGAGTGGACCTGGGGTTCCCGCAGCGAAAAATGTTTCGCCCTGCGGAAAGTGAAAAAGTCACTTTCTGCCCTAGCGAACCAAATCCGATCGGCTGAATGTGTCACCCTACCCTCACCCGCTGCAAATGGCACCTATGGATGACCCAAGAGAATGGAAGTCGGGTGGCACTATGGAAGCGGCTGGTAGAAGGCTTTCTGTTCTCAAAGTAATACCGACAGGTAGCACAGCGAAGTACTCAGCATACCGTGGGTCATAGCATTCATATTCAGAAAAGGTTTTGAACCAAAATGTCTCCTATTTCTATGTGCCGGCTATATATGGGGAGATTATATGTCACATGCCGTTCTTCTGACCACTTAAAACTACAGGTCCAGCACTTTGAGCTCAAAGGAGGCAGTAGAAATTCATTTGAAAACACTTGATAGAATAGGATTTATGACATCTTGTGCATGTTGTATCTGACTATTATCCAAAGCGCTCGGGCACCTTCTGCTTCCTTTGTGAACAGTTCTCATTACTGCTTCACTTTTTCTCTCGGTCTTATCACTTTTATTACATGAAGATTTCCTGTCGTATTCACCACATATTTTTAGACATGACATATTCAAAAGCAAGACAAAATAATGATTTAGAAAAACAGGTCGAATATATGATTTATGCTCGCCGCGCAGCACGCGGCGATGAACAAGAAAAGGCGCCGACCACACGCGCCCGCCATGGCGAGGGCCAGACGGGGTTAAAAAGCCTGTTGCCTTCTGTATCGAGAAGAGCAAGATGGATATTACGGCAACTCTACCTCCTTCATCTTATCTGATAGTGTTCACACGGGAATCAAGGACCTATTGGTGGAATGTTTCATCAATTTACCTTTAGATATGCATCGTGCGCGAGCACTTTTCCTCTGGCAGTCAATTAGTTCATTTATTATCTAGGTTTCTGCGCGTACCTCACTCATCTGTCATAATACTTTACGCGAGCAAGTTTCGACGTTATAAAAAGAAAGTCCAAACAATTTTGGCTGAGGTTGAGATCTTAGGCGCATGATTCTTTATCTAGAAGGCGCTGTAGTTTGGAGTTTGAGAACTTTAGGTTTTGGATTCTCTGGAGCTACATTCTTGCAAATCATTGCACGAAATCACAGCGGAGGCCTTTCTTCCATCGTTAAGGCAAAAGGAATTGAAGTAGGAGTGGCCTGTGGAAATGCAGTAGCTCGCCTTGATCTGTTATTGTACTTTTGAAATGAGGAGAACAATTTTGGCCGAGGTTGAGATCTTAAGAAGAGGTGGTAATTTGGCTCTGGGAAGGTCGGATGAATGCTGTTAGACGTCACACCTGTATATTCTCCATAACATGGTGAATGCGGAAATCATCTCATTTGCGGGAGGCGGTCAATTCAATCGTCGACTAAGGCCAATGTCATACTTTGCGAATCCCGCGATTTGCTAGCGAAACGCGGGATACGAGCGTTTAGGTAATCGAGCTGTGTACCAGCGACTCGAACGAACACCGCTGCGAGTGCTGTACGCAGCTTGCCTCCCTCTACCCCTTTTCCGAGTGGTACCTAGATGGGCTCGACACTGTTGGAATTGGCGGAACTCTCTTTGAACATTGGCTCTAGCCACTTCAGACCCACGAGGGCGTGAGAGAGGGAGGGGCATGAAAGCTCGGGAAAGTGGCAAGAGTCAACGTGGAAGCCCTCACTTCCAAACAGTGTCGTGTCGCTGGTACATCGCTCGATCCGCTGGGACATAATACGATCCACAGGTGCAACGTTCATACCCCGCAATTCGCTAAGTATGCATCAGCTTAACACGTTGACGACATCGCGCGTTTTGTGCTTTTGCACCGCGTGGGACAAGAGCGATTTTGCGAGCGCAGCCGCCGCACACCAAATCCATGGATTTTGAGCTGTAAATACGCAATACTTAGATGCGATGAAATGTTTTCAATGATGTTCGATCTGTCTAGCTTATCAGGAGTTACAGTAATGGAAGTTTGACCGAAATGACGTGTTAAGGCCATGAAAAGGGAAATTTTACTTATTTTCCTTTAGTTGTTCCGTTGACGACAGCGTGACGCGTTACCGCGTCACGCTGTCGTCAACGGACCGTGTTAATGAGGTCACGCCGCTCACGCGGCGGGCAGCGTCGCGCGCGGCAGTTGGTGCGGCGATTTTTGTATGGACCTTGGCTTAACGGTCCATTGTCCATAAGTTGCTGGTGGGTTAGAGAACTGATAAGACCAAGGTTCCAGGCATCAGTGAGCCAACAAGCGTCACTTTGAGATCTGCACTTGTGCCATGCTCTTCCGAACTCAATTTCACTTCATTATTAATCAACTGCCTGAATTGATATCAGAGAGCTCTAATCTGGCTGAATCGGAAAGAATATTACGTTCCAAGACACAGTGGAACGGTGAGGAAGGCACTAACATAGCATGACAGGAATAAGTTTGTAATAATGGCAAGGGACAAGGAAACTGCATTTTAAGGGGCAGGTGATTCATATTCCATGTTTCATGGGAAACTTCATCTAATCGTACCTTCCCCAATGTTCGAACACTCGACGAACAATTTTACCAACGGTCGGCGTGACATCGCGTTCTGCAGCGACGGTGTGGCGACCTAGCCATTGAATTGTCACGCACCCCACATCCTTATGCTGCCACTACAATGCGTTTTATTTAGATAAAAAATCTTGTACTGATTCTTTTTCTACTACGTCATTTTCACACGATGAAAAATGCTCGCGTAAAGTATTCGACCGTTAAATACGGAACCTAAAGAATCATGTATTAAACCACTGAAATCTCGAAACAAATCGGCGTTATCCTCATTTTTTCGTCAACTGGAGGAAGGTGAATCAACTGAGTGGTTTTTTTTAATTTTGTCCTCTTACTATGGACGAGTCGCCCGGGCCAACCAAGCCTTCCATCCCTCCGGGGTCGGTTAATTGGTACCAGACTTGTCTGGGAGGATAAAAACACTGACTTGTACATCGGCTGGCCCCCGCAAGTCATTGTATAGGCCACATCGCATTCAAACGCCACTACGAATGTACAAATGGAAGTAGAATGCGTGCCGCATCCCAAAAAGGGATTGATCAACGGCAAATGCTTTATCCTTTATCCTTTTACTGTGTACGGACTCACTCGCACATGTTCACTCCTTTCAGTGAAATCCCCTCAAAGAAAGCCGAGAAAATTTTTTACCATTAATTTTTCCCTCTCACCCTACACAACTGCCATGTTTCGAATTTATGCATTTTAGCTTCTCCATGAACCAAAGAAGAATGCAACCGGTAGAATGACTACTCGGACAGGAAATATGATGGATTCTACTCCACCATCAAATGCCAGTCAGGTAGGTATCTTAAGGGTCACGTCTGGCAGGACGAGTGGTCGAAATGGAGCTGCATTCGGTATGTAGATCGTGGGCGCGATTGAGAACTAGGGAAAAACGCTACGTCAATCGTTATAGAGGCGATACCGCACTCGCTCCGGGACCCTTGTACACTTCTTTTGACTCTTGGCGGGGCAAATGTGTAATACGTCATGGAACATATAATTACCCTAGGAGTCGAAGGTTTAAAGAACGATTCCACGGTATGAACTTGAATAATGGGGAGACAGGCGAACCTCCTGAGGGTGCGGAATGACGCGCAATTGGCAGCGAAAGATTTGACCTCGGCGATCTAGCATGGCTCACTCTTGGCGCGGTTGGCGGGGTACGCCCACCGACTATCTAATCACTCGCCGCAGGTCTATACGTGGCGAGTGATTAGGTAGCAGAGAGAGCGTGTGTTGAATTCTTGGTTATAGGGCCGCTTTACATGGTTTTTCCTCATCTCCGCTTCTTTGATAACCTCTGCCCTTATTTCCAATGAGTTACTTATCATCGTGAATTCTGCCTTTAAGTATTTGGATGTATCAAGACCTTAAAAACGATTTTCGGGAATGTCTAGAAAAGCATCAGTATTTGATCTCTCATATAATTGCGAACTGCTTAAGACAAGTATTTTATTGTGTGTGCACATGTGCATACAGCACATACCTCGCTGTCTGATTAGGCGGATGTACGGATCTGACGTGGCGATAGCCGCACTTGATAGAAGTCGCGCGGATAAGCTGTTTCCAACATACTCGCTGGATATCAGCAAAGCATGCTGGAACAGCTTATCCACGCAACTTCTATCAAGTACGGTGCCGCCACACCAAGCCCGTAGAACCGCCTAATCAGGGCGACATATGGGCCGTATCCTATCCTTCCTATCCTACGGCTGGGGAGACAGGGTTGTGTCATAGGACCCTCTGTTGAATGCGTGATGTTGTAGTTACCCTCCCCTGTTGAGGCACTCTTTTCTCCGATTTTCTCTGAGAGGTCGCGCTGTCTGGAGTCTAGAAACGCAGAGTATGGCTGGTCCTATGACGCAACCCTGTCTCCCCAACCATAGGATAGGATCAGCGGCGGGGGACGCGTCCCCCTGGGAGAAGGATGGGGTACGACCTATGGACTGAATCCATCGATACGCGAATGCGCTATGTGGAACCTTTTTGTCTCAGCTCTCAGGGTTTCATTCAAAAGTTGTGTGGATAAGCTGTTGCCAGCATGCTTTGCTAATATCCAGCGATATGGATATCAGCAAAGTATGGTGGTGGATGATGCATCCGGATGAACAGGAGCAGCATGTTCATCTCGCAGACTGCTGGTTTTCAGAATCTTACAACTAAAACAATGTCACCAAGCAATGGGGAAGCCACGCGAAGAAGCCGTGATACACTTTCAAGTGAGCTAGAGTCACCAAGTCCAATTGCTCGCCAATCATCAGATGTGGGTCCTGCCAATGATGAGAATTATCTTCAAATGTCAATGATGGAGATGGCACGTCACATGTTTAAATTCGACGAAGTGCGCAACGCGCTCCAGGAGTTCGATGAAGAATTGTATCGTAAGATTGCTGAAATAATTTCCAAATAATGTGCAGGATTGTTAAAATTCACCCTAAAACGGGCTTTAGTAATTTATTGTTCTTCGACGACCGCTAGAAACCAGTAGATGAATTTTTCTTGTGTTACTAGAACTTTGTTTGATTCGCACATTCCACGAATGTATGAGTTTGGTTATTGTACCCGAAAACAAAAGTAAAGGTGCGAGGCATGCCGCTAAAGCAAGAAAGAAGGAGAAGGACGAAGAAAAGAAAGTCTCCAAGACACATGGTCAAGCGAGAGCAAGCGACGTTGGGGAAAAATTTCAAATGCGACCACATCCTATCCCATCTGGTCTACGGACAACTTGAACACAGTCCTTTAAACCGCCTCGATTTTACGCTCCAAGACATTGCGACAGTGGTAATTGTTCATCCACTACGGAGTCCCTCCTCCCTTCAAGGCTTAGTCCTAGAAGCTCTCACCTTCTTGGTTGGGATTGAGAAGCCGAGTCCAGGCACCGTTCTCTAATCGTCTGTGCTCTGGCCTTTTCGGCAGAGAACACAGGAGAGTTCAAGTAGTCGCGTTATCCACATCCTCTCGCCCAGAGTAACCCTGCGGTTGCCGTTTTGTTGCGCAGTTTCGCCCGATTAGACACGTTCTCTCGCGCGAACATTCACACTCGCATGCTCGAGCCGTCTGCGTCTCCGCCATACAGCGTGCGTTGAGGATCTCTCAACGTGCCGTTGCGAACTGCGCAACGCAGGGTTGACTCTGCCCCCCCTCCCATCCGTAGGCAGCATTCACACTCTGCGATGAGGAGTTTTTAGGGACGAGTATACAATACTTACTTACTTACTTGGATTACTTGGCGACCCGTTATCAGCTGCGATTCTTTTTGCGCGGGTCCCAACTTCTTATCCACGATGTTCTATCTTGAGCCGTCGTTGACCAGTGGACTAATACCTTAATTGAATTAGAATCGCAAAAATTGTTCCTGTGAGCAAGAGAGTCTTGCCATCGCAGAGGTGGTCGACCACGTGGTCGTCTCTTGTCAAATGTGAGGATATATCACGATTTGACGATATCTACGTAAGTCCTCATTGTGCAGCCTGTCAGGCGTTGTTGGCCGTAGGCTTATACCAACCATTCGACGTTCAAAAGATGCTTGTATCCTTCGTAGTTGGTTTTCCACATTTTTTGTTAGTGACCAAGTTTCGCACGCGTAGCTCAAAGCAGGAAGTACTTTGGAGTTGAACAGATTTGCTCGCAATTCGTCGTCTCTCATGTTTTCAATCGCACTTTTGATCGAGTTATACGCTACCCAGCCAGCTTTCTTTCTTCTCACAAGTTCGTTTTTGAGGTCATTCTTCATGTTGAGTAGACGGCCAAGATAGACGTATTCGTCGACTTCTTCTAGAGGGACGCCCTGTAGGAGAACAGGATTCCTATCAGAATACTCGTTTCTCATGCACTTCGTTTTGGACATGTTGATGCTTAGACCTGACTCTGATCCTGCTGTATTTAAGTCGTTGAGCATTCGAGAAGCTTCGTCCGATGATTTTGAGATTAGTACGATGTCATCAGCAAACCTCAGATGACATAGGTTTCTTCCATCAATTTTAATTCCGAGATCATTCCAGTCACAGCGTCGGATGGTGGATTCCAGGCAAGCAGAAAACAAATTTGGAGAAATTGGGTCGCCTTGTCGGACTCCTTTTTCTATAGTTATTTCTAAGTCTCGGAAGAATGGTCGAATCACTGTGCAACATCCAGCGTAGCACTCACTCAAAATTCTTGTGTAACGCGGTTCGATACCTTGCTCGTTGAGTGCTAACCATAACTTTTGTGGTTCAACTGAATCGAAAGCCTTCCGATAGTCGATGAAGGTTAGTACTAATGGCTCATGATATTCTCGAGAAGCTTCGATGACTCGAGTGCAAGTGATGATGTGATCCAAGGTACTGAATTTTCGTCGGAAACCTGCTTGTTCAACTGGCTGAGCTTCGTCCAAACTCCTCCTCATTCGCGTCAGTAAACAACGCGTGAACACCTTATATAAAACTGGAAGGAGCGTTATGGGTCGGTAGTTGTCCAAGTTCTCCTTATCTCCTTTTTTGAACAGCAGAATTGTCTTCGATTTTTTCCAGGCTTCAGGTACCTCACATTCACTGACATATCGAGTGAATCGTTTTGCTAGGGCGCAATACAGTTTGTGACCACAAGCTTGCAAAGCCTCTAAGGATAGTCCATCGGCTCCAGGAGCTTTTCCTTTTGGCATCGTTTCAATCGCATGACGAATTTCAGACGGTAAGAATGACGGCACCATGTTTCCAGCAGGCAGTTGTATCGAAGAGGTGCGGAAATTTGATTTGAAAAGGTCTGAGTAGAACTTCTTCATGATTGTTTCAATTTCAGGCCGAGATGTAGTTCTTAATCCATTAGGGGCTTTTATGCAAGGAATTGTGAGGCGGTATTGTGCTAATCCATGTTGTGCTTTCTTCAGGCTACGTCTGTTAGCTGCAGCTTCCAGCAAACGATTTCGCGAGAAATTTTTGTGATCTTCGGCTAGCTTCACTCGACAGAGCCTGTTCAGAATTGTGTATTCAACATGATTTCGTTGGCGGTCCATTTGTCTCCTCTGCATAAGAAGGTTGCGAGTAGCTTCTGATATCCGGCGGGAGTTGTGGTTGGGAGCCACTATGCGAGACTGAGATGCAACCGTGGAGATGGCGCTTAAGAGGCTATTATAGTCATCGTTTATGTCGTCTATCATTTCCAGGTTTATATCGTTCATCATCATTTGCATTGCCTCTGCATTGAGTATTGTTGCCCGAGGTTGCCTAGATCGAATTCGAGTCAGGCGCACAAGACTTCGGTCAAAATGCAGTTTAGCGCGCAAAAGACGGTGGTCGCTTCCAGTATTAAATGATGGAACGACTCCGACGTCTGTGATAGCCCTTCTGTTGCAAAGAACATGGTCGAGCTCATGATAATATTGTCCATTCGGGGACTCATAAGTCCATCTCTTCGTAGGCGTTTTCATGAACTGGCTATTTCCATGATACATGTGAAATATTTCACAGAAGTTTGCTAGCCTTTCTCCGGCTGCATTTCTGGGTTCCGCACTATTTGGTCCTATGAAACGTTCTCCTTGTCTTCGAGATCCAACCCTTGCGTTGAAATCTCCAGATACCACTACGTAGCTGCTCTTTTGAGATCGTACCAGTTCACCAAGATCATCATAAAAATCCTCATGTTGTTCTTCACTGCTGTCGCACATGGGAGCGTAGACCTGGATGATGGAGATACTGATATCCTTTGTCAGCGTTGCAGTCAGAACTCCGAAGCGATGGCTGTAAAACGTGACGTTCGTTATGTATTTCGTGAAGCCAGGTGCCACAATGAAGCCTATTCCTCCTGAAGTAGATCCTGTTTCTCGAGCTCCAAGAAAAATGGCAGTCCCGTCATTCCATGTGCACGTTAAGGATTCCTTTCTTTTAGTCTCACTCAATCCAATCACATGATACGATATCCGTTGCGTTTCTTCAATTAGGGTTGAAAGCTGAGTGGACGTGCTGACACTCCTACAGTTGTAAGTACAAGTAATCAGGTGGTTCACTCTTGTCCTTTTCCGAAGGTAGCCTGTGGCCCTGAGATTTCTTCGCCTTTGACTGTGTGCTGGTCCAGCGCTACCGTACTGGGCAGGGACAGTCTGCAGGGGACTAAGGCGAATGGTAGAAGTGGTCGTAGCTAGTTTCGTCTCACAGGATAGCCTCGCTGGGGCGTTCCTGTCGCTCAAGGAGGGCGCCGTCCCACCAAGAGCTTGAGCACTTCGGGTTCTTTGGTCACGAGAGCCGGTCAGAGGGTTCGGCGAGACCTTACCCTTACGGGTTTCCGGCCTCGCCTCAAGCTCGTACACCACGACAAGTAGAACCCATGTACGACCCGATAACATAATGGGCATTCACACTCTGCGATGAGGAGGTTAGGGGATCGAGTGGTACAATAATGCGAATATAAACAAATGAAATCTGGTATTCAGAATTTTAACCGTGTTTTTCGAATACCGCCCGTTACGACTAGCGCGGTTGCGAAATGAGTATACGGACGGACCATTGTCTACAGCTCAACGTTTTAGCCTCTCAGAATGCTTAGTACTGCTTAACTACAGTGTGTTTCAAAAGTATAAAGGCATCACTGAAAACTGCTGTTACAAACTAGGATGAGCGATTCATGGCTTGCTACCGGCTTTATGAATTCAGCATTCTCCGAAACTACAATTGACTTTGTTCTAGAACGAAATATAAATTACAAACATTTTTACAAGAAAATTTTGATAATCCCTGTTTTTTTATGGTAAAGGCACCCTGGACGAGAGGACAATTTAATGAATATCTCCTGTCAACTCTTTTGCGAAACTGTGGGCATGCTCAGTGAAATACACCAATCTCTAGTAGGCCTAGACGTTTCAGGCCTTCAACCCAGGAACAAGTTCGCGCAAAGACCAAATGCTTCATAATTGCTCGAAGTGGTCCATCACTCGAGTGTACTAACAGTTTCTCTGAGAAATCCAGCTCCGTACGGAAACAACAGCACCTCTGGATGACTACACCTATCATCCTCCAAGCACAAGCTAGGTCATATCCAGCAGGCGCTTTCCAGTTGCACCACCAGTTTTTCCAGTTCAATTAACCAAATCTGGCTCGAGTTTTCGTCTTCGGCATCAAGAATTAAAGTATGGAGAACTGCCATCTCAACTCCAAATTTGTGGGGAGTCCATGATAAAGGCTCCATGATTGGGTGAGCTCACAGCAGCTCGCCTCGAATTAGCTCGGAGGAACATGAGAACGAAGTGGGTCCAACAGATGATTCGACAGGATAGATAGGCACTTCCATTAAGGTGACTAGTTAAGGACCAAATAGGTCGAGTCATCTTTTCTAATAGGAATGAGTTTAATTGAGACGGGCCGAGTGGATATCACAGCTGATTGAGGCATACTAGCAAAATTATACTGCTCTTCAGCCGGGATTTCGGCGGCAGATGCCTGG